CATCCCCGCCCGATCGAGGTGCCGGTGGGGGAAGCCGGCCAGGCTCGTCCCTCTCACCACAATGGGCGCATGGGCAAGCTGCGGGCCCATGTCTCCTTCCCTGGACCCCTCTCCTTGGCCCTCCCTCCACGTGCTCGAGGCCCTGGCAGGCCAAGCCGCCTGGCCTCGTTCGTCCCCACGACGGGACAGGCTGGGCCTGGCCAATACCCCCTATTGGCCTGGCTCCCTGAGGCACGGCACCATCTCCCCTCAACCGCAGACCGCATGGGGGAGGCGCGAGGGAATGGCCTGCTGCCGCCTCTCCGCGTGGCCACCCCCAGTGCCTTTCCAGGCGGCTGGGCGGAGCCAGCGCATATCAGCCTGGGCCTCCTCTTTGCTGGTAGCGCCTGGCTGCCGCGCTCAGCAGCAGTGCCATGGCCCCGTCTGGGGCCTGCAGGCCGAGTGAGGATGTCTGGCCAGTGGGTCACCCGGCCCGGGCTGGAAGGTAACTGAGGGCAAAAGGGTGGTCACTGCTTCTGTGGGCCAGAGGACACCCACACAGGCAGCAGCACAGCAAATGGAGAGAGACGCTCTGTGAGTGACACACCAGGGCACCAACCAATTCCAGAGCTTGTGGAATGTTCTAGAGAAGTGCCACCACTATTCGGCTTTTATTTATAAGGGAGATAACCTTGGGCCAGTCATTTTCTCTCAACTCAGTCTAGGGCTGCCAACCTCCAGGTGGGGGACAAAGAAGGAAAAAACACCGAGAAATAGGTTGGAGAACCATGGTGGTTAAGGCCGGACCAAAATGCACAAAAAACCATTCCCCCATACAAGAGTAACCGCCAGAGGCTCTCACCCCTCTCCAGAGGTGGTCAGTTCGCACCAGACAGGCGCCTGCGCCAACCAGACAAAAATCCCAGGACAGTTCGGTTTCGCTTTCGTTTTATTGCTTAATGCTCAGCCCCCTTCTTGTTTTGATTGGATGGAGGAATTGCTCCCCTCCCTGCCGGAGTTTTCCCGCCGACCGACTGGGCAGCAGCTTTAGCGCGGGCAAACGGGCGGCCCTCCCTTCCCTTCCCTTCCCTTCCTTTTCGCGCCTCTCCTTGCAGGCGCTCACGGTTCCCCGGCAGACATCAGCGAAGGAGCTAATTTCGGGGGGGCTTCAAAAGTCTGTTTCTGAACAGCGCCCAATCAGGTACCTATTTCCTTTAGTAGAGGCGGGGTGTGTGTGCGTGTGCCGTGGGACTGAAGCGAGTGTAGGAAATGTTAGAGTCATGCGGCACCTGTAAGACCAACAAAGGTTTATTCCAGGTAAGAGCTTTCGTGTGCAAGGCACACTTTTTCCAATACGTTAGAATGGCAAGCAAGGTTCAAACTTATAGCCAGAGAATGGACCGCAAATTAACATGCAACGGGATGATGAGCAAGAGAAGGGAAGCAGCCAGTCTGGCACAGGCTTGGTCGGAGGGTAATTGGCCAATATGTTGAAACTTTAATAACGGCGCCCGCTTCAGTTGGTCGGAGGCGACGGTGGATAGTGTGAGCTGGCGTAGCTGGAGGAAAGAGGGTGATGGCAAAAGGCGTTCGTTCACACGTGCGTAGTTATACCCGCGGAACTGGTGGAGGAAAAGCGGGTCGTTGCATTTGTTGTAGGGCTCGCTTTGACTTCGGATGGAGAGAAACTGCAGAGGTTTTGCTGGAATTTGGCAAGGAAAGGGTGGCGCTCGACTTGAACGCATGGAATGGGGGTGGCTAAACGTCGGGTCTAGAGGATTGTAAACGGGGATCCTCAGGAATTCATGTTTTTGTGTTGAAGCAAAATGAATCTCTCATCCTATTGCAGATCGTGTCCTAGTCGATAGGCAAGCACCACAAAAAGAGCGCATCCACCACTTTGTGGTGCTGCGATGGCACAATAACTTAATTCCAAAGCATGGATCCTCATAAATGTTTAGATTGGGTCACCCCAGATTCACGATCAAATCACGTGCCCTGTCTATAGCCATAGATTACATCAGTGGAATCAGGGATTCACTGCTTGGTGGTGCTGCCCTACTGAAAAACATTGTTTCCCAAAGTGGATCCTCAGAATTTTGATGTGTTGTCATGCCTGATTCATTCTTGGACCACATATCATGTTTATGGCCACAAATTGCACTACAAAAATCACAGATCCACCTTTTGTGGGACAGCCATGATGCAATAATGTGGTTCCAAAGGACAGATCCTCCTGGATCCTCAGGATTTTTGCTTTGGGTCACCGCAGACTCACCATCAAATCATGTATCATGTCCATAGCCGCGGATTAGATCAAAAACATCATCTTTGGGTCACCGCAGGCTCACCATCAAATCATGTATCATGTCCATAGCCATGGATTAGATCAAAAACATAATGGACCTACAGGTTTCTGGCACCATCATTGCATAAAAATATAGTTCCAAAGCAAAAATCCTCAGTTGTCCTCATGATTTTTGTGTTGGGCCACCCCAAGCTCACCATCAAAACATGAGGCATGTCTGTAGCCATAAACATGGATCCTCATAATTTTAAAGTGATGTAATACAAAACTCACCATCACGTCACTTATTGCATCATTGACCACAAGTTGCCCCACAATTTTCACAGATTCATGGTACCGTGCTGCTGCCATGGTGCAAAAACATGAATCCAAAACATGGATTCTCAGGATTTTTGTTAGAGGTCACGTCACTTATTGCATCATTGACCACACGTTGCCCCACAAAAAAACATGGATTCTCAGGATTTTTGTTAGATCCTCCTGATATTATGAGTGCTGCAGATTACAGGGCTGGTGAGAGGGTACCCCTCCAGGTACAAACCTTAGGGTAAGAGGGTTTGGTGTAGGTCATTTCAACCACATTGACTTCTCATGTGTTGTAATTAAATTGTCCTCGAAAACCAAAATATCCAGGAAACCATAGGTTCTTTTTGTGAATCAACGTTGAATGGTTAAAAATAGAAATTTGGAAAGGAGCTGTCTCTTACTTTGTCCTCTGTATCTAGCTGGCACATCAAAAGTGTTACCTCAAATTAATTACCCCTGGACTTTTGGGTGGGTTTTTCTTTTTTCTTTTTTTGCATTTGTGTTTTTAATTTACAACATGCAAATAAGCATATGGTTGCCAAGAAAGAACAAAAGAATACCATACTTTTTCATACCCTTAATGAGTGTTTCACCCCTCCCCCCAAAAAGGAATAAAGGTTTTTTTTAAAGAAGGTAATAAGTTACAGAAGACACTGTTTGAACAAATTATCAGGAGACTTTCAAATTGCTTAAATATGTTCCAACATCAGTTGTTACACATTATAATATGGATTATACAGATTCCAGTATTTAACAAATGGTAACCATATTTCTGCAAGTTTCTGGGCTTTTTTGTGTCTGCAAATGTTTGGAAATATTTGCTGTTATTCTTAATCCGTGCTCCAATTTTATTCTAAGAATTCCGTTTAATGTGCAACAAGGAACCCCAAATATGCTTCTAGGGAATTTAGATTGGACTGCTTCCAAGGTATGGGAAGTCTTTGTCTGAACAAATCTGTGAACTGTTCAGGGAGCTGAGATATCACTTTGCCTTTGAAAACTCTGATTATGGAGGGAATATGTGAGTCCCCTATTAACTAGAAAAACACATGAGATTTTTGCTAGCCTGACTGGAGTCAAATGCCTTTGATCGTAATATATTTCCAGACTGTTTTCCGTGATTACCACATTTAAGGGAACATTTATAACCTTGTAAATAAATGAATAAACGTTTGCTAATATTCTTTTTGATTACCCTTGACTAATAAAGATCTTCTCAACTTTAATGAATGGCCTCAACACATCAGACATTCTTAATATAGGTTGAATGCCATGCTGTAGTGGGAAATGTTCAAATAAAGAGATTCTTTCTGCTGCATTTTTCCTTGTTAGATCCTCAAATGACATTAATGTACCCCTTTCTTGAATATCTATAAGCCTCAGAAGATCAACTTGAAACCACTGATCAAAATTCACTGCTCCTATCAGTGGCACCTTTCACCCCATAAACTGGCAAAAATTTACCAAGGGGCAAATGGGGATTTTTGGGTATGTGGATCTACCAGTGCCAATTGTATATATATTTGGTGGCAATGTAGGACAGCAGTAGAATTCTGGAATACAGCTGCTACATTTATCTCTAAAAGTATAAGGAAAGAGCTACCATTATCCCCTAAAGTTTTTTGTTGTTGTTGAATCATGTAGATTTTCTTTCTAAAGATGTTAATGAATATGTTCTTGATGCCATAACATCTGGAAGGCTAATATTTGCTCAAAATTGGGAGAAGAATATAATCCTGAAGAAGGAGGGTTGATTAGAGAGAATTTAGTGGAGTATATTAGTTTATGGAAACTAACCTGTTGACCACACAGCCAAGTGTTCAATAAATTCGGAAAACTTTGTTTTTCTGTCCAGAAAGAGAAGTTAATTTCAAATTTTTAGTTTGTATAATTGATGTTTAGAACAGCTCTGTAATCTGCGTTTTAGATTTTTGTTTATGTTGGATTTATTCGTATATTTTATTGAATATTTTTTTTAAATTAAAAAGTTGTTTTTTTATTAGCATCTCTAACAATTCCTGGGCCTCCATCCAAGGCTTCACTGGAGAGTACTTAAGACATTGATCTCAATATTCAACTGGTGCATCCCTAATTGGGGTTTTAAGAAGTAGCAGCCCTTTGTTTTTGGTTCTGACAATTCCATCTGTTCAAAAACATCAATATTCCTTTCTGCTGTTAATTCCCAAATAATGTCACCACCTTCCCCAAAGCAGTATGCCAATGTGACCAAGGGTGCAGGCCTGTAGTCTCTAACAATAGCGTGGTCTAGTGGTTAGAGTGCTGGACTCGAGTCTGAGAAACTCCGGTTCAAATCCCCCCTCTGCCATGGAAGCTTTTAGGGTGCCCTCGGGCCCAGTCACCCATTCTCAGCCTGACCTCCCTCGCAGAGGAAGAGAGGAGAATGATGTCAGCCACTATGGGCCCCCATTGTGGAGGAAGGCGGGGTACAAATGACAAGAAAACAAATAAATCCAGGAGCTGCTACACTTTCTTTTTCACAGGATTTTTATTTTTCATGAGTGGCAGTTCTGCATTCATTTTGGCATGCTGTTGAGTCCTAGATAATTCTTCCCCCCTCCGAAACCCCCCCTTACTTCTGAGGTAAATTTAGGAAAGCAGATCCCCAGGCAGTGTTTGAAATTAAAAAGAAAATCAAGGCTGTTTTTTTTTTTTCATTTCAGGGAGAGAGAAGAAGCCATGGCAGCCGGGAGTCTCGTCAAGGAGTTCTGTGAGGAAACGACTTGTTCTGTCTGCCTGGACTACTTCAAAGACCCAGTGATCATTGACTGTGGGCACAATTTCTGCCAAGCCTGCCTCAATCAGTGCTGGGAAAAGTCTGACACAGGCCCTTCCTGCCCGCAGTGCCGAGAAGTTTTCCAGCAGAAGAACTTCAAGCCAA